GTTTACTGTGTGCGCATGGGCTGGCTGGTGATACAGTTCTAAAGATTGGAATGAGTTATTTTTTATCATCTGGCTGAGCGCATCAAGGAACGACCTTCCTCGGACGGGTGATCTGCGGTTGACTTATAGAAAGGCTGTTGAAAGTGCATACCACCGCCCTATCGAGAATGGAGCGTGTAGATGCTCGTAGGCTTACTTTGATTCTTTTGGTCGAAGGCACATGCGGAATCTGCTGCACTAATACGGGAGAACATGCATATGCCTGCACATAGTGAAATTACAAGTATTCGTGCAGATGATACATGGATATAATGTCGCACATGTTCAAACACAGCGGCATGCTTACACTTTCTTGCAACAACATTATTCCAATTACCATTTCTTGCTCCATTGTAGCACGCACAAAGCTCGATGGATCGCTGACACTGTGTATCATGTATATGAGGCAGGCGCAAGACCGGTGCACAACTTGTAGCTAATAAAGGCATTAAGGTATATAAGATTGCCAGACTTAATACAGACATATAGTACAAGCTGCGTTTGATTGTATTGTTTTGTATTGTTTCAGTATCCTTCCCCGAAGCCCAGTATCGGCAAGTTTATGTGCCGCAGATTTATACCGCCAATACATGGTTGTGTTCGTTACAGTGTCGCTTGCAATAGTCGGGTACCGCCGACAGGACCAGTGTGCATACACCGAGTAATATTTCAAGCAATCTGCGCGTACTATTATCCTCTACTGAAACTCGATAGCTGGTCTATTCAGCAACAACTCAATTGCGCTACATACATAGTGACAGGTGTCCTGAGATATTTTCAATTGTAATTTGGTTGAGCATATGTGTACATAGTCTGCAATTTCTACAATGCTTTTGCATGACGCACGCTGTACAGTGTCTAATTACTGTGAATCTATCACGTGTTGTTAGCTCACGTTTCCTGACGTTGGAGTCATGCTTCAACGTATCCATCACCGTGTGTACAATCTGCGTCTGTGGCGAGAACTCATTTTGGTTTTGGGTTCGGTTTCACACTACGATCAGTTGTCGTGCAATACACTTCCTTACCTTTTGTGCCCTAAGGGATCAACGTCGTGAATCGCAGCCGGTATCTGTATATGCAAAGGACAAATGTATCTAACCAGTCCACTAGTAAGTCTATCGCACTTCGTTTACGCCTGTACAACATTGCGATCGATTGACGACTCTGGCGGCCTATTGGACGATATGAGCCTTCAAACTCTGCAGCGAGTGTTTCTGAATCTAATCATGATTCAAACTTATGTCTCATACTGAGATAGCAATACTGGCATTGTTTAAAATCGCCGAAGGAGTTATGAACCGCTTCAGTTTGCTGTGAATCTGTGGTTTGCGACAATTTTCACGATGTTTCCGCTTCGAGTCTGCCTTAACATGATGAGATTCAGCATAGCCTTTGGTTTTTTAGAAGGCTATGGATTCAGTGACTAGCGACCCCCCCCAACGTTCCTTCCCTTCCCGCCATTCTTTGTTATACATACAAGTAGTAGTTGGTAAAATACAGTGCGATGTACTTAGGAACGGTGTTTAGTATCGTTGTGCACGCGTGCAGTAATCGTCGAAGCAGCGTCTTCAATTATATACGTTTCAAGTGCCAATTTAGATAAAGACAGTTTCATTATTCTTACATACGCAGAAAGTACATGACCTGTTAGTCAATATATAGTCATCTACTATTAGCTATACAAAGACATTTCCGCTATACAAGAAAAATTCCGTGAAATGCCTTAAACTGTAGCTGAATATTTCACAAATAGCTCGCAATCAATTGCCTGAATGTTTACCAGGAATAATTAAATTCAACTAGGTGTGCGCTGCATACACCAGGTACACCTGGGTTTATTGACGTACTTCTATAATATCCCTCTGTTTAACTACACGCGGGTTGTGTGGAGCAACTCGTCAGCGGACAATCTTGTTTAGTATTTGCTATTAATCCTCTTTTCACTTATCAACAAGGCAAAGAATCCTTTTTTTTTGGAACGTCTTATTTCTTTCACGTCATAATAGGTGTGATAATTACCAAATGCTGCCTTGCGTATAAGTGGAACGCGAAGGGCCCCTCAAAACTCATACAGAACGACAGATGCGATAGACGATACAACGATACGACAATCGCGTAGAAGGTTGATCTGAGCTCAGAAGTGCTTGATCACGCGAGTATAGACCGGGAGATGATCTAAGTATCAATATGTGATTGTAACACTACCCTTCGACCGACAGTTGTGCTATACTGTGTGCCCTTCCCAAACCGCCCTGAGCGCCTATGGTGACAGGAAAATAAATGCTCGGCAATTCGGCATGTGACTGTGTATTGATAGCGCTGCCGCTACTGATCATCCCAAGCGTCCCCTCGCACTGCCAGAACTTCAATCCACATCATTCAGGATTACAGCAGTACCGGGCAATCTCAGTAACACGAATAGACAATCTCAACATATTCCCTAAACAACCCTTCCGCCGAGCGACACTCTTTACTGGCTACATACAATGCCCCCAGCAATGTGCTCGTGATAACAAATGTGTAGACGATATACGCAGCCCTAAATCTCTAGTACTCAAAGTTTCAAGGGTTGTGAATCTGGGCCGCAAACGTTCACGCTGTGTGGTTGTGGCTCGACTGTAACTACACATGTATGTATATTGATACTGCTTTTTATTGGTATTAGGTGATGGGATCCAGTTCCACCACGAAGTCCCCTACATCCTTCAGTTCGAATGACGTGACCTTCTGCGCCACAGTTTCCGTGTCCGCGTCCACCTGCTCGGCGCAGATAAGTGTAATCGTGCGAATTGATTCAAGTATAGGTGCATATCAAAATGGGTAATAGTATATGACAGTGTTTTGAGTACTGTAGATGAACTTCACAGTAAAAATATTGTTCCAACCTTAATAGTGACGGGTGCAACGAGTAGTATCAATTTAGGTGTTGGCAACTTCACAGTAAAAATATTGTTCCAACCTTAATAATGATGGGTGCAACGAGTAGTATCAATTTAGGTGTTGGCATCAGAATGCTAACAATGAAGCATATGAAGGAGCATAGCTCAGCCTCTACAAAATGTACAGTGACAGAGCCATGAGTATGTCGAATTTGAAGAGTGCTGGCATCAAAACACTACATATATCTCTTGCATGACGAATTTGGCTCAGCCTTGGTACCGGTGTACAGTGATGGACCAATAAGCGTATATCTAAGTGTTGTAGCATCTAATGTTACAAACAACTTATACAGACAAAAAACTTACCTCGGTTTTAATATCGACATACGGTTATGGAGCATTAAGTAAATCTATAGCTGTAGTAATATAAAATAGCTACAAAATATTTCTACGAACAAACTTACCCCAGCCTTCATATCAGATTGCTACAATCAACTTGTACAGAACAGTCTTACCTCAGCCTTGATTCCGGTATACGGCGACGGAGCATTGAGCGTATCTATGAGTGTATTGGCATCAGAGTTCTCCGATGCGACGACAGGCAGGTTGTTCTCGCCCGCATTGGGATCGATATTCACAATACGACTCTGCTGACCAACCACTAACCTGTGGTGTTCACATCAATAAGTGCATATATGAGCAAAGCGGTAGTACAAGCGAGAAAGACCACACACGGAAGAACGTTAAGGTATGCTCAAGCCTATCGAGATGGTTAATAGATGGTGTT